CCACGTACTTACCGAGGGTTGACAACACCATAGCAGATGCCCTAAGCTGCAACTTTACAATTCACGAGTGAGAACTCCACCCGGCCGTCACGGATATCATCTTCCGCAAATGGGGCTATCCCACCACTGATCTCTTTGCAACACGGAACAATGTAAAATGTCCCAGATTTTGCTCTCGAGTGGGACTGGGCAGGAGGTCCAGGAGCGATGCATTCCTCCTCATGTGGGACGAACCACCGTATTACACCTTTTTTCCAATTCCGTTGATTCCCAGGGTGTTGCACAAAATTTGTCTGCATGGCGCTCAAGTCATCTTGATAGACCTTGTTTGGTCCAGACAGATTTGGTTCCCAGCCCTTCAGGACTTGTCTCCCGAACCAGCTTTTCCATTGCCACACAAACACAACCTTCTATTCCAGAATGGAGGCAACCTGTGTCATCCGAAACTTCAATCGCCACACCTCCATGCATGGCTCCTCAATGGCTCCATGACCACCAGGCCCAGGGCTCTGAGTGTGTGAGAGAGGTCCTACTGCATAGCAGGAGACAGTCCACCAGGGCGACTTACTTGCAGAAATGGAGGCGCTTCATCTCCTGGGGTCAGCTGATACAAGTCAACCCCAATGAAGCTCCATTACAAAGCATTCTGGACTACTTATGCACTCCAAAGACAGATGGGTCATCTGTCTCTTTGATCAAGGTCCACATGGCCACCATCTCAGCCTTCCGCGGATGAACTGAGGGGGCTGTGGTGTTTGCACAGCCACTATCAGGGAGGTTCCTCAAAGGTTTTCATAATCTCTAGCTACCTTGTAGGGTGCCAACCCCTGCATGGGACCTTAATCTGGTATTGGCTACTCTCATAGAATCATAGAGCTGGAAAAGACCTCAGAAGGTCAGTAAGTCCAGCCCACTGCTCTAGGCAGGACCAATCCCAATTAAATCAACCCAGCCAGGGTTTTGTCAAGCAGAGACTTAAACACTGCTAGGGATGGAGACTCCACTACTTCCCTCGGTAAGCCATTCCAGTGCTTCACCACTCTCCTAGTGAAATAGTTTTTCCTAATAGCCAACCTGGACCTCTCCCACTGCAACTTGAGACCATTGCTCCTTGTTCTTCCATCTGTCACTACTGAGAACAACCTCTCTCCATCCTCTTTGGAACCTTTCTTCGCTTCTGCAGACTAAACTGACCCACCTCCCTCAGCCTCTCCTCATAGGTCATATGCTCTAGCCCCCTAATCATTTTGGTTGCCCTCTGCTGGACCGTCTCCAATGCTTCCACATCCTTTTTGTAGTAGGGGATCCAGAACTGGACACAATACTCCAGATGTGGCCTCACCAGAGCCGAATAAAGGGGAATAATGACATCTCTGGATCGACTGGCAATGCTCCTCTTAATGCAACCTAATATGCCATTAGCCTTCTTGGCTACAAGAGCACACTGTTGACTCATATCCAGCTTCTCATCCACTGTAACCCCCAGGTCCTTTTCTGCAGAACTGCTACTTAGCCAGTTGATCCCCAGCCTGTAACAATGCTTGGGATTCCTCCGTCTCAAGTACAGGACTCTACATTTATCCTTGTCGAACCTCATCAGATTTCTTGTGGCCCAATCCTCCAATCCTCTCATGAAGCCCCCCTTCAAGCCAATGGCTGCAGCTTCTCATCCACTGTAACCCCCAGGTCCTTTTCTGCAGAACTGCTACTTAGCCAGTTGATCCCCAGCCTGTAACAATGCTTGGGATTCCTCCGTCTCAAGTACAGGACTCTACATTTATCCTTGTCGAACCTCATCAGATTTCTTGTGGCCCAATCCTCCAATCCTCTCATGAAGCCCCCCTTCAAGCCAATGGCTGTGTGTACCCTATCGTTACTTACCACTGTGTAGCCTCGCGGCACGCAGTCCAAACTAGCCGGCATTTAAAAATGGCCCCGGCCGGCTTTATGCAAATGAAGCCCGGGAAATTCAAATCCCGGGCTTCATTTGCAACTCCGTATGACTACATT